CCAGCAGAAAATGTCAGTGGTGCTGAGGCTGAGACCGAGACCCTAGACCAAGTGAAGATTTTCAGGAACAAATGGAAAAGCCCATTGATGGCTTTGGCCACTAACAAATAAATATGTCTCCCTACAGTTGCATTGTGTAGGACACTGCAAAGAGTACAAACGAAGTGTCTGCCTTCCAGTGTCCAGTAACACACAAAGAGTTATGTCACACCTTAGTGTCGGGACTGGATGACTCAGAAACAAAGATGCTAGGTTTGATTTGTTGTTTTTGTTGTTGTTAGGTACTGTCGAGACAGTTTTGACTCATTAACAGCACTATGCACAATGGAATGAAACACTGCCCGGTCCTATGCCATCCTCACAACTGTTACATTTGAGTTCATTGTTGATGCCACTGTGACAATCCATCTTGTTGAGTGCCTTCCTCTTTTTCACTGACAGTCCACTCACTAAGCATGATGCCCGTCTCCAGGGACTGGTCCCTCCTGATAACAAAATGTGAAACACAAAGTCTCACCTTTCTCACTTCCAAGGAGCATTCTGGCTGTACCTCTTCCAAGACAGATTTGTTTGTTCTCCTGGAAGCCCTGGTACTTCCAATATTCTCCAACATCATAATTCTAGCACATTGATTCTTCTGTGGTCTTCCTTATTCATTATCCAACTTTCACATGCATATGATGCTATTGAAAATACCATGACTTGGGTCTGGGACAACTTAGTCCTCAAACTGATATCTTTGCTCTTGAACACTTTAAAGAGGTCTTGTGCAACAGATTTGCCTAATGTAATATGTCACTGGATTTCTTGACTGCAGCTTCCATGAGCATTGATTGTGGATCCAAGCAAAATGAAGTATTTTGACAACTTCAATCTTTTCTCCATTTATCATGATGTTATTTACTGACCCAGTTGTGAGGATTTTTTCTTTATTTCCATTGAGGTGCAATCCATACTGAAGGTTGTAGTTGATCTTCATCAGTAATTTTCCAAGTTCTCTTCCCTTCCAGCAAGCAAGGTTGTGTCATCTGCATATCACAGGTTGCTAGTGACTCTTCCTCTAATCCTGATGACACGTTCTTCTTCATATAATCTAGTTTCTCATATTATTTGCTCAGCATACAGATTGAATAAATATAGTAACAGAATACAACCCTAACACACACCTTTCCTGATTTTAAACCATTCACTGTCCCTTGTTCTGTTCAAACGATTGCCTGTTGGTCTCTGTACAGCTTCCTCCTGAGCACAGTTAAGTGTTCTAGAATACCCACTCTTCACAATGTTATCCATAGTTTGTTATGTCTGGTTTATCACTCAGTAATTCTAAAATGACTTTTCTCTTTTGTTGCCTGTTTCAATTTTAAGCAGTCCTATTCTTGAAGCTGAGCACACCTTATTGCATCTTTTTCAATAGAAATACTTTCCTTTTCCTGCACATTACATTGTTATCACAGAGCTCCATAAATTCTGTGTAAGAGAACAGTTTCTCTTTCTCCTTCCTTTTCCTTCCCTTTAAAGAGAAAATGGGGGGAGGGGTGGAATTAACAGCAGATACTCCAATTTGGGGGGAGGTTATTGTTGGATCGGTCCATCCCCTGTACAGTTCAAAAGATGCTGCCTGCTAGAGTACAAATTGCTAGAAAATAGGACTTGATTCTACTTTTAAATCATTAATTTTTTTATCTCATACTTTTTTCAGTTGCTGACCTTTGACTAGAAAGAGCAGGTGTACTTGAGCCCTCCATCACCCCATGGGTGTTTGTTGCACCAGAAATATCCGATAAGACTCATTCGCTTCACTCACTGGGGTCCTGGTATCAGGAGAGATAAGGGAGTGGTACTGAAGGAACCCAGCGTTTTTCTGCTTATCAATCTCTGCCCTATGGCAACATCCCTAGAAATATAAATCACTGACTAATCCCCAGGGCAAAGGCAGGAAGGAGGAAATTTATTTGATAAAGCTACCATTAGTGTCAGGTTAGTGATAGGAGGTTACAGAGGTGTGACCCAGTGGGGACAAAGCCACTGCCACCGGGGAGGGGCTGACCAACGAAAGAGAGGCACAGGAGACCTAGGTCTGACCTTCATATTACCTGGGAGGAGGGAGAAGTTGGGGAGTGGGCGATCTAGAGAGGAGCCCACTATGCTGACTGCCCAGTCTTGAGGGAGCAGTAGTAAGTCACTGGTGAGAGGTGGAATCAAAGGGCGGGGGTGGGGGTGGGTGGGGTGGTGTTAGGCCATGATTCACAGCATTCTGCAATAGAGGAGACCAAAGCACTAAGAATGAATAACTTGTCAAAGAGAGAGGTGGGATTTGAACACAGGTATTCCAACTTGGGGAGTCCTGGGTTAATGTGCTGGACTGCAAGGTCCATTTGAACTGGATTTTGGTGGTTCAAGCTCACTAGCTGCACCTTGAGAGCCCCATACAGGGTTACTATGGGTCAGAACCAACTCAACAGCACTTAACAACAACATTCCAACTCAGAAGCCCATGATAACACACCATTCCCACTGTGAACAAGCAGCATGGTGCTGAAGATCTGTGTTGGGGCTACTAGAATTCCTGGGTTCTCATCAGCTCCCTCCTCAATTGTGTCCCTGTGAGACAATCACTTGCCCTCTTGAAGTCTCAGTTGCTTCATCTATGAAGTGAGGGACTTGATTGAAATGTCCTTAAGTCACCAAGGTGGCATAGGTGAAGGCAATCTGACTTGAAGACCCCCAGAAAGGAAGCAGTTGGCCTAAGGGTCAGAACCTGAGGAGCAGGTTTTGCTTTAGTGTGAAGTGCTTACCATGTGTCTGGAACTGAGCTAAATACTTCATCTGTTATCTCCCTTTGAACCTCAAACACCCCATGAGGTGGGTGTTAATGTTGTCCCCATTTTGCAGATGAGGAAACAGATTCAGAGAGATGAACTTACTCAAGATCATTACAGCCAAAAGGTTAGTTGACATCTAACTCCCGGTCTGCTGTCCCAGCTACTGCACTCCTCTTGACCAAAGGAGCTGAGCTAGGTGCAGTGAAACTCCTCTCTTACAGTCTGCCAGCTGCTGTAGACTGTCTCTCCTTCAAAGTCGCTGCCTTCTATCCAGGATGTGAATTTCTTCCTTAAGCTAAGTCTTTGGAATTTGGAATGATGTTGAGGGCAAGTCAGTGGCAGAGCCCTAAAATCATTCTATGCTGGCTCTCAAACTCAAGATACTGTCGGAAAAGCAAGAGAAGTGTGGTCCTGAGCCCTGAGGACTGGTTCCTTCCTAGTCCTCTGGCACCCAGTTCCTGGTAGACCCTCTGAGATAATACTGGTTGAACAAAATCATGCAGACCAAAATCAGTGAGTCTTTGGGCTCACTCAGGTGTGAAAGGATGAGAACTTAATGCACATCACCAAGCCACCCACTTGAGCATTTTAGTTGTGCTTGTCAGTTACTCATTGTGAAAAACTTTGCTGTAAAAACAAGCTGTTCGGAATCCTGTGCAGGTTTCCACAGCTCTGAACAACAAGCGAGTCATCTGCATGGAAGGCCTCCTCTGTATAAATCACTGTGTTTGTCGGCTTGGGGTTTTTGTTATTCTTGTTGTTGTTTTAAGTTCTCCTTTACACACTCATGTTTTCTTGCTCCAAGTAGTGACATAGACGTAGACTCAGGTGGAAGATATTTGCTCATTTTTCTTTTCTACCTCACAAGAGTAATAAAGTACAGCATATTGTTTTTAAAAATTTTAATATTGTTCCAAGGAGGAGATTGCAGATATTGAGATGAAGCAAAGTTTGTTATTTGTTGGATGTAAAATTATTGCTCATGGTTGTAAACCTTCACTTAATTCACAATTAAAAGTCTAAAAAAAGAAAATGTGCCATTTTCGCTCCCCCAACTGTACAATAAAGCCAACAAGCTAGCAGGGCATCATTTAGTCAGGGGTGTCTTTGTTGAGTGCTGTTCAGGCGGTTCCAGCTCATAGCAACCCTGTATAGGGTTTCTGAGGAGTGGCTGGTAAGTCTGAACCACTAACTTTGTGGTTCGAATGACCTTGAGGTTGAGTGCTTATCCTACAGCAAACTCCAGTTCGGCTGGGGAACTTTTTTCTGCTAAGGGCCATTGGATAGTATAATATCATTCACAGGTCATATGAAATTATCAATTTTTAAATTAGCCTGCTATCTTTGGTCAAACATTTAGTTAACTCACCCTTAATGTGATGGCCGGAATTGCAGTACAACAAATGCGGCCCGTGGGCCAAATGTTCCCTACCCCTAATCTAGCTCATGGTAAGCTAAAGTAGAAAGCTACATTTTCACAGGTGTCTATTGAACTCTGGAGTCCTCGGTTCAAACTCACCAGCCACTGCTTGGAAACCCTATACAGAAGCTCTATGAGTTGGAACCAACTCTACAGCACACAACAATGACAACAACAAATTGAGCTCTGGGGTTGCTATGGATGTAGGAGTCCGTCACTCACCCTCATTTTTTGTCACCCACCCTCTCAGTGGGTGTGAACTAGTGCACAGGACTCCAGTGCTCTGTCGAGTGTCACCAGAAGCATAGCATTGCTAAATGACTGCTGACGCCCCTCCTCTCCTGAGCCATCGCCTCCCCCTAGGCTAGTTCCAATCAGAAGTTGCTGTGGAGTTGGTTCCAACTCATAGCGACCCTGCATAGGGTTTCTGAGGCTGTAAATCTTTACAGGACCAGAAAGCCTCATCTTTCTCCCATGGAACAGCTGGTAGTTTTGAACTGCTGACCATGAGATTAGCAGTCTGATTCGTAACTACTACGCTACCAGAGGGGAGGCTACATGTTTATCAACTCTGAGAAATTTGGAAAAGGAAACTGCCTATTCCTCTGAGTCACTTCTCTTCCAGCGGTAGGGCTGTCCACAATCATATGTTGTGGGCCCACCTGCACTGCAGAGAAGTGGCTCCAATACTTCAAGTGTGTGTTTTTCTTGCTCATTTCAATCTTGCTCATTGTATCTGTGGTTGGTTTTTACAGGTGTGAAAGCTGTGGAGCTGTTTTCCATTCTGAATGCAAAGAAAAGTCTGTCCCCTGCCCGAGGTGTGTCCGCCGAGAACTGCAGAAGAAGCAGAAGTCTTTCTGGCGGCGGCTGAACATGGACGAGAGTCTGGAGGAGGCTTGCAACATGTTTGAGCTGTCTTACCAGAACACCTGACCAGGCAGGACCCCCAGCCAGAGATTCACTTAATGATGATTCATCCTCCCTGAGTGGTTCCTAACTAGCCACTTAGAAGACCCCACTGGGAGAAGAGTCTGTCCACTCTTCAGTTAGATATAGATATATACTTATATACATATGTACATGTTCATACCTATATGTCCTGTACGTATACTCTGTATAAATCATTGTCTCAAGGTCCATAGAGCCCTCTGAAGCTTGAAACAATACCAATCTCTGACTTCCACTTAGCTGTGAAGTTCAGTTCAGTTCCTTGCTCCCAAGCAAAACATGGTTACACACTATGCTTAAGAGTTCAAACATCTTTTTTTGGCTCTTGGGGGCCGATTTATGACACAAGAGCAAATGTTTCTGGATGAATGACAGATTTGGGGTTATTTTTGTGTTATTTATTTTTAGCCTCTTCAGAAGCTGAGGTAACTGAGGCAAGCACCCACCACCATCTGTTTCATGAGAAAATCTTCCAAACACAGGAGTGACTCTTGGAACCTTCCAGGACAGGGTGTCCCTGGCTCCATCTCTCTACCACAGAGATGGGGGCCACGCAAAGAGATGAATGGCTTGGGGGCTAAGAGTGTGAGTTCCTTCTGACAGAAAGCATGCAACCCTAATTTATGAGGACAGCTGGTTCTGGCTTTAAAGTGAAACTCAGAAAGTTGTTGTTTTCTTTTTTCTAAGAGGAGACTTCTGCAACCAGTAACTGCATGTAGTTGGTCTGTTTGCTGGTACGAATCCCAACATCTACCTAATAATGCTACTTGCCACTGTATTGCCAAGTTATAGACATGGCTCTCTTCACAATTTTCCAAGGGTTTCATGGGTGATACTTAGGCTTTTTAAATGGTACTGGCCTGAGGAAGCATCCTAGAATTGTTTTCAAATACTGGTAGATAGGGTAGGTGGTGCGTCCATTCCAAAAGATGGATCTTGATTTCTTTTCAGTAAATCCTGCAGTTCTGCTCTAGTCAGTGTTGGTGTTTTATCTGCCATGGTTCTTATACTATACTGCCGTTTTGATGTTTAGTTTGTCTACTTAACCACTTCTGTTCTCATTTGCTCTTTTTAATTATGTTAAAAATTCAAACAACATGGAATTTCAAAATACCAACTGTAGGCTATTAAGAAAATATCAAACTTATGAGAATAATTAATGAATTAAATATTATTTAAAAGTATATATCTACCCACTTATATATAATTACCACCTTAAAGTAAAACAAAGGTAAATAATAGAATATTAATAAGAAATGTAAGTAATTGCTTTGCTATTTGCAGGGTAGTGGTCTCTCCCTACAGTGTCCTTGTAAGAGCCAGCATAGCAGTGACTGATCAAAATGGAACCCCAATGGCTCCTGTTCCTTCTACCTTACCTCTTTCTAGAACAGAAAAATGGTTTATATTGAAACAATTCACAGTAGACTTTACGAGGCGCTCCTGTATGTTTTACCACTGAGCAGACGCCTTTGTAGTCTAGTAGTTTCGCTGCTATTAGGATCTGGAGAATCTGTGGCTCACCAAGTACACGGTACGTTCAACCTCATCTCTCCTTTCTCCTAAACACTGCTCCCTCCAGATCCCAAGTCCTGATACCTCCCGCCATTTAGAGAATTGGCATTTCGCATGACTTCTGAACAGACTGTCAGTTGGGAGTATTTCACCTCTTGACCTACGCTAGTTCCTTTGGCCCAGACCACACATTTCAGCATCATAGCTCATCCCATTGCATTTATTTTCTGATCTCGTAGCTGTCTCCAAGGCAGGACAACTTGTTAAAAGGCCAGGGCCCTGATCATAAGAAGCCTGATGGTGCCTTTTACTTTTGGAAAACAGGTTGACACGCCCTCTGTCCTCCACTGTAGTTATGATGCTACACACAAAAGGAAAAGGGTGGAAAGTTTCAAAGGAGCATTTGGCAAATAGGCAAACAAATTTGATCATCTCCTTTCCCTCCTCCTTCATGAAATGCAGTATTTATATTTTCAAGTCTCAGAAAAGATAGCAGAACATGACCTTTCACAAGAGAATTATAGACCTGCTTATTATAAAACAGATGTGCTCCGATGGCAAAGTGCCTTCTCCCTCCGCCCCAGCTCCGGTCTCTGTCACTTACTTTTGCCTGCACTGTACTGTTTGCATCTGTGGACTTCACTGTCAGTGGGGTCGTCCCTAGCACACTGCATTTGGAGACCTGGCATGCAGGGCCGTCCCGCCCCCACCAACATGTTTGCTGTTGGCACAGAATTTCATGTCCTAGCTGACGCACACCCAGGATCAGACTTGCCAAAGTCCAGGGTGGGATTCTGGATCCCTATTCTAACTGCTCTAGCTTTGGCCAATGCCCATTCAGAGGGCCCTGCTACATATTAGAAGTCCCTGTAAACGCATAAGGAAAACTTTCCATCCATATCATTTTCTGCTTATTTTCAAAAGGGGAAAAAAAAAAAATAGATGTGCAATCCCAGTCAGCTCCCCACGACTGGAACTCGTCCCAGCTGCTTCCCTGCTCTCCCTTTTACACTTCACTGACAACTGGCGAGTTAGCACTAGCCGCAGGCCTGCACTGCCTGAGGCACATGGGACAGAGTGGAGCCTGCTTAGGGGTCTGCCACGGACATTCAGAATTGCTGTTTTCAGGCCAGAAAACCCCCTCACTGTTTTCCTCCCTGACAAATCGCTGGGTCCACTGTTAGGTAATTGTTCCATTCCTTGGAGCCTGTTGACACAAAGGCAGATCTGTGGATTACCACCTCGCTGAGAGCTGCTAATACCTGCTTTTCCTCATGTTCTACTTTTCATCCCATATTAAATATCTTGCACATAAAGCGCTGAAGAAAATGGCCAGTTAATCTCCTGGAGCTGGCAGCTGACTCCAGGGAACCTCTTTTCACTGAATGGCCCATCCCCTGGTGGAGCGCTGCAGGAAATCCTTCCTAGCAGTGCCAGAAACCAGAGTCAGGAAGCTCAAGCCTGGCAAAGTGCTGGCATGTCACCCTGCAGCCAAGAAGCCAGCTCCAAAAATAGACATGCGCTTGCACCATTGCAGGAAGGCCACAAAGTACATAAAAAGCAGTCAACTGGAATCGGAGCTGTTTCTTTCCAGAGTCACTTTCCTCAGGGGAAAGTCTCTACACATGAAACCACATCAACTTGCATCTCCCCACTTGGCTTCCCTGTCTCTTCAGGGGACCTTATGACAGTCATCTTCATGACTGTAATGCTAAAGGGCAAACTTTGTAGGAGCCTCAGCAGTTGTTTAGCAAAGGAGTTGCCTTTCTGATCCCTACAGAGGGATCAGCTCTGTGAAGCAGTGTCCTTCCAACCTCAGAAAAGGCACTGTGCTGTGAGTCCCTCCTGGCTGCAGTGAAAACAGCTGCTTCTGTCACTCTGGTAATCCCTGGATGGTATAGTTAGTATGCTTACCGAAAGACTGGAGTTCGAGTTCACCCAGAGATGCTTCAGAAGAAAGACCTAACTATCTACTTTCCAGAAATTTCAATAGAGCGCAGTTCTCTGACACACATGGTACAACTGGTTTAGGAGCCATAAACACCCTTGCTATGCTGGAGCGAGACCCGATAGCAGAGTCTGGCCCCCCATCTGTGTATTTGCCTGTGTACCCTCCAAAATGGACCTGGGGGCGATGGAGGGGGAGGTTCTTCCCATGCTTCCTCATAAAGGCTGGGCTTCTCCATTCTGTAGGTTTGTTCTCTGCTCATTGGCAAAAAAGGCCACATGTAAACCAATTTCTGAGGATGGTACTAGCATCATGGGACTCTGAACCCTTAACATCAAGGGGAGGCATTATCTGAAGAAGCAGAGATGCATTCTACACCTAATTGAGGGCAAAGCCAATGCTGTTGCTGATAGTTTGCACAAGAATCCATCCCTCCACAGACCAAGACACCTAATTATGAGAGCAGTCCTCTCCTCCTGATTCAGATTCTGCCTGGAGCCAATGCAGAGGTGGTTGTTGTTAGTCTGTGTGTGTTTTACTCTCATCATAAAGACGGATATGCACAAGAGTCCCCCTTTTATTTCTTAAATTTTATGTCATTTTTCTTTACACTGAAATAATGTGACAAAGTAGAGAATTTTGCACAAAAACTGAAGGAAATGAACACCTTCCTCCATGACATGAATTGAGTTGTACCGGTACTGTTTCCCTTTTCTTGGCACTTGTTAGTAACAAGCACTTGGGAGCTTCAAAAACAATCCTGAGTTAAGGAGAAGTGAGTGTTAGAGGCTGAATCAAATCTAAGACCTGCCCAGTTCATTGAAACATCTCTCCTGTGGGATGGTGTTTTGGCAGTTGATTCCTGACACTCTCAAGTCTTTTTACTGGTTGTTGATGGTAGTGGTGGTTTTAGCTGCCATTAGGTCAGCACTGACTCACAGCAGGCTTCTGTGTGACAGAATGAAACACTGCCTCGGCCATCTACATGATACTTGGTATGTTTGAGTCTACTGCTGTAGATGCTAATTGCATTGGATTCAAATATCTCTGGCTTGATGGTTTTTCTGTAGCTGTTTCTTGTTTGTTTGTTTTAGTGAGGAGCATGCCTAAGGTAAAATCCAAGTCATTGTTAAACTCTTAAGTTTAAAAAAAAAAAAAAAAAGTGTGAAATACCTTCCTAAGCACACCTGTAGTTGTCAAGGGTTTTATTTTAAATGATCCAAGTGATTGTGTTATGTGGCAGTTTCCTTATAAAGTGATCTCCAATATGATGAAAGGCATAGCTAAGCCAAAATGAAGACACTAAATGGCTGTTTTGCTTTGTTTCCTATGGGACAAGAAGCCATTGGCTGCTCATCTTGTTAGAAGGTCTAGAGTGGAGCTCTGTTGCCCAGGGTAGAAGATCCAGGCACCTACAGCCACTCTTAGCATAGTGAGGAATTCTGCCACTTCTCAGATGTGGAGCTCTTTGTCTGTAGTCCTGACCCCTGACCCAGATTTAAGCTTCATAGTTAGTAAACCAGCCAGTGGGCCATGGGGGCCAGTGGCTCTTTCTCCATGTTGGCCTTCCCATTTGTCACTTTTCCCTGTAGGAGTGCC